TAACTACTAATAGTATACAGTTGACTGAAAGCCTTACCAATAACATAAACAGTCAAATAACACATATTTTGTAAATACCCCTCCCTTCTTTCCCTCCGCTGGACCCACTAGAGGACAGCCACAGCCTGTGCCTGAGCCTGTCCACCGCTACCGCCAGAGGGCGCCCCCCTCCAAGTTTCTGCACTTCGCTTAGCAAAGGTGGTGGTTTGGGTGAAGCTGGCGGACACTCGTTGCCCGCACTTGGGCCGGGAGGCCAGGCCTCAGTTCCGAGTTGCTGGGCTCCTGAAGCGTTGTGGGCGGTGGGGAGGGGTGAAAGAGGAGGGTGTAACCCGGGATTGGGGGAGATTGAGCCTGCTTTACTCTTCTCGGTTCTCCTAGATCGTGGACCTCTAGAACTACGGCTGTGGCGGCCAGATTTGATGGCCAGACGCGGACACTACAGACTGCTGTAGTGGACCGAAACCTCAATGGAGTGGGTAGGAATGGGGTCCGATGTACGGCCAGGTGGGCTGGGGATGATACCTGGTGGCCCAGGTGATAAAGATCCCATAGCCTTGTCACCTGAAAATCCATTGACCCTGAGGCCTAGACGTGGGTGGAGGAGTCCCATGCCCTGGCAACACACATCAGTTTCTGCTTCTCCCAGTGTCTTTCCGGAATCCCTCCCTGCGGGTCTGCAACCCCACTGCCCCCACCACAAAAAACACCCCCTTCCCTAGTGGACATAGGCCCAGTTGTGGAAGGGCTCCCTCCCAGTGGGGCATACCAGTTGCTCAGTACCTGCCTCCTTGGAGAGGGGCAATGGTACTTCCCAGAAGTCTTCCAGGACCCAGGGCTCTTTCCTCTGTGGCTGTCCGCTGACCGATTCTTGACTCCCTTCTGTCAAGGACCATCATCCTCCCCTTGACAAAGCAACCAAATCCTGTGGTGCATCTGTAGACTCAGGGGAGGGTCTGAGTTACTGCTGCCCCTGGTGTCTTCTCTCCTGGTGACTTTCTTATCCCCTCATCGTATATTTCTCGCAAGACGAGTACCCTAGAAAGCGGGAAAGCACAGCTGGAGCCTGAATGCTGAGGTCCACAGAAGAGGATGGGATTTGCCTGCCCAGTGGGTTCTGGTGGCCTACCTGGTGTAGCCATGTTCATTTGGCAAGTCTTTCATGGCCTTCTGTCTTCACAGGGATTTTCCCTTGCAAGTCATCACACGTGATGGGTTGTTGTTTCATTTGATATTTTTGTTTTTTGTTTTTACATGTGTTTTCCTTCTCCACATATGTTTTCTTTCATAGAGTTCATGAGCCTTTTATTTTCATTGATTGATGGCAGCCCATGGTAAGTGAAGGAGCATTAGTGAATTCAGACCTTTCCCAATGCGCCTTTCCCTCCTACCTTGTATTTACATAGTCATTTGGCAAGTCTTGGTTTGTCCACATTTTAGTGGAGTTTCTTTCTCTGTAGGAAATATTAAACCTTTATTTTACATATTATCTGCTGGGGGAAGAATTAGGCTTAGATAGAATTAGATTCCATTTATAGTTGATCTTGAAAGATGTATTTCTAAAACAAAGCAAGGTGGAAGGAATTCATTCTAGCCATTAGGTGAGCAGAGCTTGCACTAAGAGAATATCAGGCATGGGTATTGACTATTTTTGTAACAGAGAATTTTATTTTTTCAAATTTATTTATTTTGAGAGATACAGAAACGGCACAAGTGGGGAATGGACAGAGAGAGAGGAAGAGAGAATCCCAAGCAGGCTCTATGCTGCCAGCACAGAGCCTGACATGGGGCTCGAACTCACAAAACCATCCCAGAGCCCTTGGTGCTGGGCAGGCAACAGTATTGTGGGAATGGGTAGTCATATGGACCCCTAATGGAGGGAGCTACCCTCATTCACAAAAACGGACAATCTGTGCACATGCAGCAGCAAGGTCCATGACCTATCAGGGCACAAAAAGCCTTTTGAATACATACTGCACCAAGGCCTCATCCCTACCTCTTGATTGTCACATGGAGGCACCTTCTTCATATCTCAGAACCTCTGCTACCTGTCTCGATGGATATGATGGGCAGAAGTACACCAGAAGCCAAAGTTACAGCACTGTCACTGCCTACTCCATTTCATGATGGGAAAAGCAAGAAAAACAGACCAAGCCCCAGGGATCTCTAGGTCTTTCTGGAAGAAGGCAGTCCTGTTGCTGACAGGGCTCCCAGATGGAGACACTAGAGGACGCCATTTCTTATGCCTTCTGGTGTTTCTTCTTAGGGCCAGATTGCCAGAAGCTGGTGCTGGGCACTCCCTTCTCAATAGATTTACCCATCCAAGGTCTGCAGAACTCCTGCCCTCCTTATCCACCTTGACACATCTTTGCTGTCTTGTAGAATCAAGGTTCTTCTCACAATCCTCTCAGAGTAAGGGTCTCAAGAGTCCTATGCTCTGCCTTCCACCTGGAAATTTGATCCAGTCCTTATGACTGGGGGAGCGGTTTTGCCACAGGGCTCCTTCTTCATTAATTCACTGGGTTTCAAAATTATGTGGCCATTCAGAGGCCCAGGGCATTTGAAAGGGACTAGCAGAGGATGTTTGGTGCATAGGCTGGGACAGAGATTTGGCAGGGAGCTGGTATCCTTTTGGGTTGAGGATAGATGCAAGGCATCTTCTTTCCAGGTGGATCCTTGTTCCCACAGGAAGTGTTGAGATTTGGCCCATTTGGCTCCCATTTCCTTCCCCTTACTGTATTTCTGACAATTTATTTATTTCTTTTCTCCCTAGGAGCCATGTAGCCATCACTCCCTCAGCTGGCACCCCTGGGTAGCTTCACAATCTCACTGTGCTCCTGTGCTCAGTGAGGGCTACCAGGCTCTGCACTACCAAAGAAAAGAAGGCCTTTAGTAGCTAGGTGCTTGGTGCTTGGCCTGCTGTGCTATGCAGGGTGAAGGGGAGCCAGCTTGCCTCACTGACCTGATAACTGACTTGTCTTCATTCTGGGAAGCAGACAGTTTACACATGGGTAGTAAAACTGGGAAGGGTTAGCATTGGAAAAGCCCTTGCCAGGAATTAGGGAACCAAGCCCTTGTTGCAGATTACTGAGCAAGAGCCCTCATAACCCAAGAACTATATCTCATGCACTGCTGCCTCCCTCAACTGATGGAAATCGTGGCAGGGATAGAACAATGCAGAAATTACTGGCTCCCAAAGAAAGAATGCAAGCTTCTTGCTTACAGGGCGCTCAGGTGTAGTTGTTCGGGGGGCTCCCATGGCTAAGCCCACAGGTCTTTCTTTTTCCAGATATAACCTGGTGGATAGGAGACTGCACTGGGGGCTTCATTCTCAACAATCTCCAAATCTCATGCATGAAGAACAACTCTGGCAGTGTGTATCTCCACTGCCACCCACTTAGTCCTTGTGATGAAAGAGGGTTTGCATGGGGACTATTCCAAGGCAGAGTCTTAGAGTAACATCCTCTTTTTTTCAGTTTGGAGGGTTCATGGTGTCCTTGGGATGGTAACAGAGATGTTGCATTGGGCCCTTCTCAATTTGGTTTCAGAATGATGTGGCCCTCCCCAAACCTAAGGTATGTCAAGGTACCCAGGGAGACTGCTTGTGGGAAGGCTAAGCCAGGGGTTAGTGGTGGATCTCGCCTACTGTGTGAGACAAAAGGAAGGGAAGGCAGAGGTCTCTTTCCTCGATTTTCCCCATGCCCATTTGAAAGGACAGCTTTGACTCACCTTGCAGTCATTTCTCTCCCATTGCTGATTTTCTAATTTGGTCTCACTTCACACACCGAGACCATGTGACTCTCCCATACACATCTGAGTTACAAGGATTGTAAATGAGTTTCTAGTCTGTTCCTGACCCAATAGAGGACTCTGAGTGTCTCATGTCCCAGAGGACATTGATTCACATGTCCCTGAGCTCTTGTTGCTTAGGAGGCTGTATAGCTATAGTAAATAATTTCTCTTCTGTGGATACAAGAGTCTCCCTGGAATTGTTTCAGAGCCTTTGTCTCAGAGGCATGTCCTTTCCCTTTAAGCTGGGAGTCTGGTGCAATCCTGGTAAGTGTGCAATAGGTTTGACCACAGGCACCATGGGGTCGGGTTTAGGATTTGTGGGCATCACCAGGCCTGTAGGAGACCGGTGGAGAATGTTTGTGTGTAGGCTAAGCCAAAGGTGTAGGAAAGGAGCTGGTCTCGTGTCTGGATCAAGAGTTGATTAGGAAAGCTATCTTTTTCATTGAGGGATGCCAGCCCTTTGGAGATGCAGAACTTTGGCACTGCTTCTACTCATACACATCCCAAGGCTGCTTTCCTGGCTAGGTCTCCATTCATATTCAGGAGCCATGGCTGTTATGAATGGTGATGGTTTCTCAGTCATTTCTTGAGGAAATTGAAGGTATATGGCTCTATAATCCCAGATGAAACCTGGCCCTTCTCTCCCTGAACATGGTGTTGCTTAGCTGGCTAGGGTATGCATGAGCGTGGGTATCCAGTGGGCCTCCCTTCCCTCACTAATAGAGATCCCTTCATTTTGAAGAAGAGCACGGTTTCATGTGGGCAGGATGGGTACCTGAACACAGAAAGTACCATTGGATGGAATCCTGAACTAAGACTTGCTTCCAACACTTCCATCATTCAGGACACATCCCTGCTACACCTATATCACTGCTAACCCTAATTACTGATGGCAAGGGTAAGACACATGCCTAAAGCCAGGTCTTTCCCTCTGATTCTGAAGAAAGAATCTGGGCAGGCTCCTTGCTGACAGGGCTTTCAGGTGGAACTGAAAGATGGCACTGTTTGCCAAAGCTCACAAGTGTTTCTCCTTCCTGAGTCAGTCAGTGAGCTGGGGAAGACCATGCTAGTCAGGTCACTCTCTGCATTATGTCATTCTTGTCTCTGATTCAGAACTCTGGCCTTCCCACTACACATTGTCACCCCTATGCTCTGTTTTAACTGTGAGCCCTCCCTGGGGTCCACTCCATGTGTTTGTCGTACATTCATACCCTGGGCTCTCCAGTGGGGATCCTGATCCATTCGTTGTGACTGTGGCATATGTTGGGCCAAAAGGCCCCTGGCTCTTCAGCAGGATACTTTTCATGGGATGCTTGTTCATCTCTGCACCAGTCCTGCAGAACTCAGGTTTGGGCCCAGCAGGCCTGTGGTTTTCATTTTGTTTTGCCATGGACAGATCCTCAGAGCCTCTCAGGGTTTCAAGCACCTTGAAAAGATAAGAATAACTGTAAAATGGGAAGTTATTACAGTATGTGATGATGCTCAGGGCAAGATCTATTTATTTTAAACCAGTGCCACCTAAATGATACTTGAGTAGGCAAGGCAACCCTGCTCTAGTACCTCATTCTGCATTTCTTCCAGGCATATTGCACACTGGCCAGCATTTTGATTCTGTACATCCTTATATTAGGTTATTCCTGGCATTCTTCAACACATCACACCATGCATATACATTTCATGCAAGGATACACATGTGAGAGCACTTGAATCCTCCAAACGTGGGCTGGGAGAAGGGAACTGGTAAGGAGGCAAACACCAGGTGCTGCCCCAATGGGTTCCACCCTATCTGCCAGTCCCTGCCTTCTGCCACTGTCCCTGGGGCTATTGTGGACCTAGTCCTGCCAGCCAGAACTGTCACTGTTGCTATTATTGAGTATACACTATTGCTCAGGCCCATGCCATGGTTGCCACACGATGACCTCAGAATGGCTTTGCAGGGCCACTGAGGTTGCTATGGCACTGCCTTGATGCACAGGGCTATTCATGCCTTGGCACCTGACCCAGAAACCTTCTTGTGGTGGTGATCTACACCCGTCCCCGATCCCTGTGGTCCCACTGGCCCCTCTGTGCCCCAGTTGGAAGGTAAATCCAAGTCTGAGTAAGTCTAACTGCTGCAATTAGCAGGGGCTTGTGTGAAAAGCTATCCCTGGGCATGGGTTTAGTGAGTGACAGATCCATGGCTCCTAAGTCTAAACAGGGACATAGTTAGACATAAAACCATGGGAGGGAGTGGCCATAAGGAGGGCTAAAGTTCAATGTTTATAATGGGAATGGGAACAATCTGGAAAGAGGATGTGTGACTTCATGTTCCCTCAGCCCAGAAAGGAGGCCAGCTCCCTTCCCATACCTCTGGCCCAAGCTAAAGTGTAGACGTTCTAACCTGGGCCCCTCCAATTCCTTAGGCCTCTGAATGCCTGCATGATGTTGACATCAACTTGCCAGGGGCCCTGTAACCAAGCCTACCATACAGTCACAAGGATGGGACTAGGATCCCCAGCTGAACACCAATGATATTCCTCTGAGAGACTATGCAGAATGGACCCCAAAGAGAAACTAGTTTGAAAATAGAGTACAGAGATGAAAATAGATTCACGGAGGGCCAGAGTCCTTCACTAGGCAAGAGAATGGGATAATGGGGAAAATGAAGTAACTAGCACCATCTCCTAGCAAGCTGTCTGTCTCAGGAATAAGCAATACCTGTGGTTTTTGGTGAAGGGAGCCCTTTACAGGCTACCCATGGGAGCCTGGGAGCAAGGGGCCTGCAATCTTCCTTCAGAAATAGAGGGAAAGCCCTGGCTTTGGCTCTGTTTCTTGCCATTTCCCATTAGAGATCAGGGACAGCAGTGATTCAGTGTTAGCAGTTTGGGGCTCCTGGCTGATGGTCAAGTGGTTAGAACCCGGCCTGGGTCCCATCGTCACTTCAAAGTCCCCTTGGGCACTATCCAGGGCCTGGAGCAGAGTACACGTGCATGAACCATCTAATCTGCAGGATGAAGACACCTCTCTCAGCCAGGTGAGGGAGGCCAGGTGGCCACCCATCCCTGCAGTTACTCTAGCTGACATACCACCAAGCCCCCCAAATTAGAGGAGACTGCTTCCCTCTGGGGTACACAACACTGAGAGCTGTCGATTGGCATAGGAACTGACTGGGAACTCCACACCACTGTTTGGACCTGGGCTGTGTACCTGACACAGACCCATGGATTCTGGGATGTTCAGTTCAGAATACATTCTTCTGAGGCTCTTGCTCTGAATGGCTCTGAGGTAGAACCTAGTTTGAAAAAGAGCAATAAAATGCAAATAGGCTCCCTGAGGACCAAACCTCTTCATTGCAGAAGAGAATGGGCTAAAGTTAGAAATAAGTTTACTTATTGCTCCCTTCTCTTGGCAGGCTGTCTGGGGAGTAAGAAACACCTGAGGGCTGTTGTCAAAGGAAGCCTTCTTTGGCTATACCTGAGAGTGAAATTCCACAGGAGGTCTGTATTCTTCCTTCAGAAACAGAGGGAAAACTGGATTTGGTGGTTTCTCCTGTCCTTCCCATCAGGAAATAGATGCACCATTGATGCAGAGGCAAGGGGTTCTTGCTCCCAGCTGGATGTCAAGTGTTTGGAACCTGGACCTGATGCAGTACTTCTTGAAAGAGCCCTTTTGGTGCTGATTGGGTCCTGAAGCATAGTGTGCCTAGCATCTGTGAGACAGAATGAAGTCAGGTCTACCCTTCACTGCACTTACCAGAGCTGGCCATATGCCAAGCACTCAGCGTCAAGAAGGTCATCCTTTGATTTGAAGTTACTGTTTGCTCTCACATAGCACAGGACCAAAGTGAGAGTTTAGTACCAATCTTTGGGCTCTGCTTGTGTGAAGTGAGTGAAAGCCCAGTCATCCCTCAATGCGACCCAAGACTTATAAAATAGCAAACTGGTGGGAATGCCTACAAGGGAGACCAAGGTTCTAAGTTACAGATGGGAATGGGAAAATGCTGGGCATGTCTATCGACCTCGTTTGTCCTTGCTGAATGTGTAAGGCCAGTGCCTCCCCAAGCCTCTGGGACTGCCTGCAGACATCCATCATACCCTGCTTGGCAACTGCAGATGCGCCAGGCCTCTCATTGTGAACAGAGTTCTAATGGGAAGTTACAGGAGGTCCCGTTGCCAATCTATGCCTGAGTCCCCAGGCCTCAGCCAAGGCCCCCAGGTTAAAGTGGAGGATATTCCTCGGAGACACTGAGTGTGAATGGAGTCCAGCAAGATCCTGGTTTGAGAAAAAAGAGCAAAAGGGTGCAAACAAATAGACAAAGGGCCAAAGTGCTTCATTACAAAGGAGAGCAGAATGAAGCTGAGGACACGCCTACCACAATCTCCCGAGAAGCTAACTGTTGTCTATAGTAAGAAGCACCCACGGCAGGGGCATAGGGAAACATCCATTGCGTACACCTGGGTGTTTGGTTAGCATGAGGCCTGCACTTGTCTTTCAGAAAGAGAAGGAAAGGTCCTGACCTTGGCTCCGTTGCATGGCCTACCCTCAGGGCATAGAAAGAGCAGTGATTCAGTGGTAGGTTAGTGGTCCCATTGGTGCTCTAGGTATTGTAACCAAGTCTTGGTGCAGTATTCCTTGTAAGGGCTTTCTTTGGGCTGAATTGTCCTACAGTCTACTGTGCATGCCTGATCCATCTGCCGTAGGAGATGAAGACATTTCAATCAGCCTGGGGAGGGAGGCAAGCTGGCTGACCCGGGCCAGTCAAGCAACTGCCATTCATGGACAGGAAGGTCATTCTTCTTTGAGATACAGTAACTCATTCTCTCACACAGCACAGAACCAGAGAGGTATTTCATCACAAATCCTGGATTTTGGTTATGTGGCTGACAGTGCAATTCCACCTGGTTGTGACCCATGACCTAGTTATGAAAACAGAAAATGGATGGGAAGGCCTAGAAGGAAGGCCAAGGTACTACATCACAGAGGAGATTAGGATGAATCTAGGAGTGAAATGTCTAACATAGTTAGACTTCAACCAGAAATAAGGCTGGCTCCCTCCCAAACCCTGGCATTGCCTACACATAGACACTCTGTTGTGCACCTTCAAGTGCTCTATACCTTGTCAACATACTTCTGAGAGGCACATGATGAGGGCTCCTGTGTCCCAGCCCATGCCAGAGACATAAGGACTTGGCTAGATTCCCCAACTTAAAGGAAAGGATATTTCTCTGAGACACTGGCTCTGAGTGGCACCCAGGGAGAAACTACTTTGCAAATAGAAAAAATATATTTATTGGAATGGAAACATGGAAGGCCAAAGTGCTTCATTACTGAGGAGAATGGGACACAGACTGGAATAAACTGTCTAGAATGACAACTTCCTAGCAAAGTCCTGTCTAAGGAGTAAGAAACACCTGTGGCCAGAGACACACTAAACCTCTAAAGGGAAACCTGTTGAGAGCCCAGTCTGCAAGAGGTCTGCATATTTCCTTTTGAAAGACAGGGAAAGCTTCTGTCCTTAGCTGTTTTTCCTGCCCTTCCCATCAGGGGAAAGAGGCAGCAGGGATTCAGGGATACTGTGTTCATGCTCCGGGCTGTTGCTCAAGTGTTTGGAACCGTTCCTGTGGCACATTATGTTTTGAAGGGCCACTTCCCTCACTGATGCAGTCCTGGAACATACCTCGTATGCATGGATTATGTGCTTTTTAGAATCTGAGGCCAAGCACTAAGTGCTCTCTGACAGCAGAGCAATCTTTCCTCTGGGTTGTTAGAAATGAATAACTCTTGGGGCACCCACTGTGTCTAGTGGGAACTCAGATATAATTAGACAAACAGCAAAGGATGGGGCACCTGGGTGTCTCAGTTGGTTAAGTGGCTGACTCTTGATTTCAGCTCAGGACATGATCTCATGGTTGTGAGGTCAAGCTTTGCATCGGGCTTTGTGCTCACAGCTTAGAGCCCACTTTGGATCCTTTGTCTCCCTATTTATGCCCCCACTGTGCTCATGGGCTCTCTCTCTCCTTCTCTCCCTCCCTCCAAAAATGAAAAATCTTTATTTAAAAAAAAAGGCTAAAAGAAAAAGAAACAGGGGCGTCTGGGTGGCTCAGTTGGTTAAGCATCCGACTTCGGCTCAGGTCATGATCTCACAGTTCATGGGTTCAAGCCCTGTGTCGGGCTATGTGCTGACAGCTAGCTCAGAGCCTGGAGCCTGTTTCAGATTCTGTACCTCCCTCCCTCTCTGACCCTCCCCTGCTCATGCTGTCTCTCTCTCAGAAATAAATAAAATGTTTAAAAAAAATTTTTTAAGAAAAAGAGACAAAAAGTGAGGGAATGGGAATGGACACATGGAGGGCCAAAGCTCTTCCTTTTCTATGAGAAAGGGATCAAGCAAAGAATAAAGGGACTAGTATAATCTATTTGAAGCTGGCTGTCTTCTGAATAGGAAGCAACTCTGCAGTGGGGAAAGGGAAAAACACCACTGGTTTTACCAGGAAGCCCTGTTCAGTGGGAACCTTCACCTGGAATTCAAATGACAATGGGATACAACTAAAAATGTACTGTATAGCTCAGTGGTTTCTTGTTCCAGAAGCAGGACTGGTTTTCTCCTAACTCCTCTGGGCCTGCATACATGCAAACATTTCATGCTGGGCCCCTCCAGTGGGCTAGGTTTCCTGATGCACTCATAGTTCTAAAACACAAGTGGTGAAAGGCCTCATAGCCCAAAGACTTCCAGAGTCCAGAGAATTTGACCCAAGTCCTCAGTT